AAAGTAATTAAATGATCAGAGATAAATATAACACTAGGGTGTATATAAATAGTGTAAAAAGTCTATGGTGTATAATTGCATAGATATTATAACATTAATGTAATTTACTGTATGTGATATATAAATGAGTGTATATCAGAGCTTCTACTTGAGTCAAAGGGAAGCCTACTTCTACTTGTGTCTACTATGCACTAATCATTGCAGTGCTATACAGTGAAGCATCCAGGTTACCCAAAATTTACCCATCTAGAGGCTCTGATATACTACACAGAGTAACTGTATATTCTACTTGTATATAATTATAGCATAATAAAATATTTTTTACACCGGCGCAGCACATGTATCTCACATGTTATGTTTACAATGTGTTATACAATAATATCAGTGCATTATGTATACCCAAATAATATGATTTAATAATATTTATAAATATTACTTTTAAATATCAAAGCTAATTTGTAAATAACATTCAAAACTAAAATATATTGTAATAGTATTTCAATAATATTTTAATATTTGATATGTTTATTGTATAATATTCAGTGACATTTAATATGTGTTAAGTTAAACTTATATTAACTAAAGCAAACAATTTATGCTGAATTATCACATTTAATATGATACTTCATTTATTAAATGATAATATTAAAAAGTATTATTTTATGATGAACTTGTTATGTTTTCAAGATATCTTTATTTAAAACGTAAGTAAAATACAAAATTATTGAATAAATCAGTCTTTTAAATACAATTATATTTTGGAATTTATTATGAATGCTGTAGTATATAAACTTATGCAAGTTGTAAATTATTTTATATTTACTTAAAAATATATATCACATTATGCAATAATTAGAAATTGGCACCAAAGTATCGAAAGTATAATTTGTATTATTTTTGTTTTATAATGCTTGATATAATTTATAAATATGATTACCATTATATTATTTACAGTATGATTTAATAAATTGTTAACTACTTATAATTAAATTATAGATACAGATTTACAAAATAATCACAAACTGCATTTTTGACATAATATATTTTATAAATAAAATTATGAAATAATATTATATTTTATGGCTTACTAATGAAGAACTTTTTTATTATAATATAAGATTATTATATAAAGTTAATAAATCATAACACTAAAACCTTATTTTTATCAACTAGGAACATTATTATTAATTAATTACCGTATACAATTTTAATACACACAAAAACCACATCACCATGCTGAAAGTCCTAAAACACATCACCGTTGAACCGGTGGCATTTTTCTACATGTTTGCCATATTTGGCGAGTTCACGTGCACCCAGGACATGATCTTTGTCAAATTATGCGTTCAATACTTTAACGACTCACCATGCACCATTACCAAAAACAGTAACTCCAGTGCGTTGACCAGTATCATGTCGGACAGTTCGGAGCAACTACTTTACAACAATGTCATTTTAACCGTAAGCTCCATAATAGGTTCGTTTATAGCCGGGTCATACGGGGATCGATTCGGTCGACTGGTGCCCATAGCGGCCCCACCGGTGCTCTCACTCGTAGCCCAAATCCTATTCATCATATCGGCCGCCAATATCCACAACCACTTCAACATACTGTACGTCATAATGATTGGCTCATTCCTGGGAGGGATATCCGGGGGGTCGGCCGGGCTGTTAGCCAACTCGTTCGGGTTCGTGGCCGACATAACCTCCCAAAAGCACCGGACGGTTCGCATCATAGCCCTCGAGGCAAATATATTTTGCGGCGGTTTTGTCGGCTCTATACTCACGGGTCTTATTATGAAACACTACGACAACACAAATTACGCCAAATATTACATATGTTTCGGTATATTCGCCGTAATTCATGGCCTACTAGTGCTGTACGTGTGGGTACGCGTGCGCACAGTGCAGACCCAGTTGTCCCGGATCACGGCCGACACGCCTACCGACCAAAGTTTTACCTTATCGTACGTGTTAGAGATGTTCACGGGTGTCATAAAAACGGTCGTACGGCGCCGGGAGGGCAACAATCGGAAAATTATATACTTATTAACGCTATGTTTTATACTCATATCCTATGGCACCGAGGCCATGAACGCGCTACTATTTTTGTACGTACGTAACCGGCCCCTAGAGTGGGACAGTGCCCAGTACTCGTTTTATAATGGGTGTAAGTTTGGTGCTACCGGTGCCGCTCTACTCTTACTACCGTTAATTCAACGTTATGTATGGCCTAATATTAATGATATTTGGGTGGCTATTATTGGTGAGGTATCGCGTGCATCAGGTTTGGTTCTCATAGGTAAGTTGATCGAAATGATTTATTATTGCTTATTAAAATGAGTTGTTAGATAATTTAGTTAATTTTATTTTTTTAATAGACTGTAATTAAAGCAATATTGTTTAATTAATATAATATGAAATTAATGCTATTATTTTTAAATGGTGAGTAAGCCCTCGATGAATTATTTTATTTATAGTCATAATATTACTTTTTAATAAAATCCAATGTCCCTTGGTACAAAATGTTTATTTAGACATTTTCTATTAATAAATTTAAAACATTTTTAGAGCGTTGAGACATTATATTTTTATTTAACATTTAAATTTTGTAAATTATGCTTTTAGCTAGTACAATTTGTCCTAGTTATTTTATCATTTTAATATTTATTTTACTAAAATCTTATTCATACAATATTCATGCTCACCCCGCACCTAGGTCTAGCCACTACCACCCCAATCATGTACGTGTCGGTGCTATTGTACATGTGTTGCGAATACCCATTACCCACCATAAGGTCCCTAATGTCAAAGTTGGTTAGGGTGGATGAGCGGGGTAAGGTACTGGCATTTTTGGCATTGTTTCAGAATTTGTGTTTCCTGTCCGGTGGCATACTGTTCCCCATACTATACAAGCATGAGATCAATAGGACGGGCGGTTTCTCGGGTATGGGCTTTGAGATCGCGGCTGTACTACAGGTGTGCGCTATTGTCGTGTTTATGTGAGTATTGAATTTAATATTAAATTAGTAATAGTTAAATGATTTCATTAACAACATGTTAAATTAGCTATATTTTTAGTCAATGCATTTTATGTTTAGAATTATATTTTTATAACAAACTGTAATTCATACAATAGATAATTATCATGTTTTATGTCTAAAATGTTCATTTAGACTATTGGGAAGTTAATGAAAGTGATCATTTGAATAGTAATAAAAAGTGAAATATTATATTTTTAGTATTTATAGTTTATAATTAATTTTTATAAAATATAAATATAATATTTTTCAGATTTTAAGTAATTTATATATTGTATTTTATGAAAATACAAACTGTAATTGTTTAAGCAATTTAATATAAATTTAAAATCCTTATCAAGAAATTCATTGGTGGACTTTTGTTTTTCATATCATAATTTTAATAATTTTTATTTATTATAATGCGATCAATTATTTATCAATTATATTAATAATAGTTTTTTTACCAATAGTTTCATTGGATATGAATTAAAATCGGCTCATTTTATGCAACCGAAAGGCTATACATCTCCTGAATCTGAACTAAATTCAGGTCCCAACCAACTGTCCGATGAAAATCTGGAAAATCAACATTAATATAATATTTAAGTAACAAGTTATAACTAGTACTTATTAATTTCCTAAGTAATAGATTATATTTATTCATATAGTATTTTTTATTAAATAATAATTGAAGTATTGGTAGCACTTAATAATAAAATTATCTAATCATGATACTTATGACATTTTATTATTGCCTTATATTTTATAAATAAGATACAATTATAACCTTCCATATATTATTAATAATAGAACAATTGACATTGATCATATTAGTTGTGAATAGAATAAATACTATTTTTTAGTTAATATTAAATATTATATTTTAGATATAAAATAAATATAAAAAGTTTATGTAATAAATTAAATACTGTAATTTTGTACTCATTATAAGATTTATAAAAATAAATTTAAACAAAATTTAATATACTGTATAAGTATTATATTATCAAAGTGTAATATAAAATTCATCCATGTTCAAAAGCTAATTTAATGCCGCTATTAATAACCTCACTGTGTTATCACAATATATTCCCAACAAGCATCATTTATAATAACCAATTTACTAATAACCTCACTGTGTTATCACAATATATTCCCAACAAGCATCATTTATAATAACCAATTTACTAATAATTTATAAATACTAGATCACCTAGTCACTAGTCATGAATTATTCAGAGATTGTTATGCCTTAAAGAAAGCTTATCAAGTTAAATGAATGAGGTATGAGTATATAAAATAAAAATGAATTTTCAATGCATTAATAAATTTTGTGACAAGTTATTATTGGTAAAAATTACTAATAAATTATAATATTTGAGGGGTCATTCATTTAATGGATACCCACTTTTTTTTCATTCCTAGTAATAATATGTAAAATATTAAATTTTTAGTATTTATAGTTTATAATTAATTTTTATAAAATTTAAATATAATATTTTTCAGATTTTAAGTAATTTATAAATTGTATTTTATGAAAATGCAAACTGTAATTGTGTAAGAAATTTAATATAAATTTAAAATCCATATCCAGACATTCATTGATGGAGTTGTGTATAGTCGACTTTAATAATTTTTATTTATTATAATGCGATCAATTATTTATCAATTATATTAATTATACTTTTTTTTATTACCAATAGTTTCATTGGATATGAATTAAAATCCGCTCATTTTATGCAACCGAAAGGCTATACATCCCCTGAATCTGAACTTAATTCAGGTTCCAACCAACTGTCCGATGAAAATCTGGACAATCAACATTAATATAATAATTAAGTAACAAGTTATAACTAGTACTTATTAATTTCCTAAGTAATAGATTATATTTATTCATATAGTATTTTTTTATTAAATAATAATTGAAGTATTGGTAGCACTTAATAATAAAATTATCTAATCATGATACTTATGACATTTTATTATGACCTTATATTTTACAAATAAGATACAATTATAACCTTTCATAGATTATTAATAATAAAACAATTGACATTGATCATATAACACTGTTGTGAACAGCATAAATACAATTTTTAGTTAATATTAAATATTATATTTTAGATATAAAATAAATATAACTACGGTAGTTTATGTAATTAATTAAATACTGCAATTTTGTACTTATTATAAGATTTATAAAAATAAAATTTTAAACAAAATATAATATATAAGTATTATATTATCAAGGTGTAATATAAAATTCATTCATGTTCAAGAGTTAATTTAATGTCGCTATTAATAACCTTACTGTGTTATCACAATATATTCCCAACAAGCATAATTTATAATAACCAATTTACTAATAATTTATAAATACTAGATCACCTAGTCATGCTGACCAAAGTGATCGGGGAGGTATCGGTGGAGCCCATAGCCTTCCTATTCATGTTCGCCATAAACGGTCAAAACACGTGCTCACAGGACCTGATGTTTGTGCGCTCGTGCGTCGACTACTTTAACGGCACGCGATGTCCGCTCACGAAAAACGCCAAACACGCGGTCGGCTTAACGGCCATCGAGTCGCGGACCAGCGATTACATGCTATACTTCAACGTCATTAACGCCGTCGCCTCCATAGTAGGCTCGTTCATAGCCGGTGCCTACGGGGACAGGTATGGCCGGGTACTACCCCTCACGGCTGCGCCCCTACTAACCCTAACCGCGCAAATACTATACATTATTAGCGCCGCGTATATCGACAGCGAGTTTAATGTGTTTATAATTGTGATGATATGCGCGCTACTCGGGGGTGTCAGTGGGGGTCACCCGGGGTTTCTCGCCAACTGTTTCGGGTTTGTGTCGGATATAACTGACCAAAAACACCGTACGATTAGACTGATAGCTCTCGAGGCGTGTATTTTTTGTGGCGGTTTTGTGGGGTCTATCATAACCGGCCTTATTATGAAACACTACGACAACACAAATTACGTCAAGTATTACCTATGTTTTGGTATTTTTGCCGTAATTCATGGGCTTATTATTGTGTATAATGTGTGTCGACTGCGGGTCATCAGCAACGCTCGTAGACCTACCGGTGCTATAGCTACAGCTACTAGTACTGGTGATAGTAATGATAATGGTAAAAGTGAGCGGTTCAGTGTGACCCTGATATTTAAATTATTTATCGACGTGTTTAAAACTGTGTGTAAGCGCAGGGAGGGCAATAATCGCAAAATTATGTACTTGCTAATAGTTTGCTTTATACTCGTGACCTTTGGTACGGAAGTGTTAACCGCCCTACTGTTCCTATACGTACACAATAAGCCACTGTATTGGGAGACCTCCGACTACTCCATCTATAATGGAGTGAAGTTTGGCGCTACCGGTGTGGCACTACTGGCCCTCCCGGGTGTGCAACGGTATGTGTGGCCCGGTATCAGTGATATCACAATTATTATCATTGGGGTTATATCCAGGACAGCCGGCCTTATATTATTAGGTAACGTAAAATAAGTTATATAATATTTATTAAATCAATTATAAGTATAAAGTTAATATTTTACGTAACTCAGAGTTTTATTGTTTTTAATTTTGACTAACCTAATAAACTATAATTTTATTTAACTAATATAATTAATATTACTTGAAAATTTATAAAATTTGGTAGTGGCGGTAGACCCAAAGCGACTTATTGTTACATTTTTATATTTTTAAAATTTTTTAATCATTTATAATTAGTTAAATAAGCATTTATTTATAAAAGTGCATTGAATTAAATTAATTAGAATTATTTTTTTTATAATAAATGGCAACGTTGTAACTTATTATATAAAAGTTTTACTCATTTGTTAGTAAATTAGTAAACATTTTTCAATTCTGGTATTTTTAATTCTGTAATCTAATAAATAATTTGTAAGTAAGTAATCTACAAAAATGGTATTATTTATAATAGGTTTAGACTTTTGAAAAAATATTTTACTTACTTGGGTGGACTAAATTACCATTATTAAATGTAATTATTATTTTGAAAAATAATATTTTAAAGTTCAGTGAAGGATCAGTGGTCCCAAAATATGTTTTTAAAATGTTATAATAAAATGCTATCAGAAATAATATTAATGTTACAGTTTCGTTTCCATTATTTAAACATATTATTTAAACTCTGATTAAAATTAAGTATGCGCATAGGTCTTGCTACAACTAGCACCGTGGTATACGTGACAATCGCGGTGTTTATGTTTTGCGAGTACCCATTACCAGCCCTCAGATCAATAATATCGAAACTGGTGGACATGGATGAGAGGGGAAAGCTATTCGCATTCCTAACCCTTTGGCACAACCTATGCTCCCTTTCCGGTGGAATTCTATACCCCATTGAATACAAGCGTGAGATTAATGCCGAGAGTTATAGCGGACTCTGTTTTCAAGTGACGGCTGCCCTACAGATATGCGCCGTTGGCTTATTTCTGTGAGTATTTTATTTTTGTATCTTGGTCATTAAATAATTATTTTATATTTACCACGCGCATAATATATATTTAGTTATTTTAACAATTAAATTTATGTAATATTATTTTAGATATATACATAATCAACTTAAGAAAGCACATTTTGTTGATCACCGCGACTCTGGTTTAAATGCGATCCGTCATCTGGATAAATACCTAGATGATAATGATCATTAAAATTTTGTTTTAAATTATTTTTAGTTATATTTATTTAATAAAATTGAAAAACTCAAAATAATGTAGAGACCTATGTTCATATGCTTTATATT